AGAGGAGGAATCAGTCAGATGTGTATCTGTTAGGCATACAGACTCATGGGACTTTTAAATGCAAAGCTACAAGGATTCCTGGATACCAATTACCCAACCACTCATTTTGTGCAAATGGGAACCAGGACCTCGGTGGTCAAGTGACTTGGCTAAGGTCAAACACATCGCCAATTTGTATGAATGCTCACACTCAGCCGGCCACATTTTACCTATGTCACGTTATTCATATAATAAGCATCATACATGTGGACAGCATCAAACCATGCCGAATTAAACTAAATTGCCCATGTGTCAAAATGCCAAAACAACTAGATGTTAAATACTGCCCCAGCCCACAATGGAGAATAGAGATAGGTTAATTTATTATGCACATCTGCTGAAATAAAACAAAATGAAAATAAATGTTAACTTTTAAAAATATTTTTGTATCAGCTGTAACAAAATGGTAGAAAATAGATTATATTTATTAAATAAATAAATCAAAATGCCAACCCTGATTTTCCTGGCTTTTCTTGGTGAAATTGTATAAAGAGTAAGATACTTAAAGTCTTTTAAGGTTTAATTTCCTTTCTTTAAACCTTATAAAATGCACATTCACCCAAGAAGCTAAAACCACATCTCCCCAATAAAGAGAGTCGGGCTCTGTACCAGAAGTAGTAAAACCACTCACGAACGAAAGCGGCAAATTACATACACACTTTTGAACACTTAACATTTTGTATTTTCATGTGTCCCACACCACAAAATGTGCTTAGCCAACTACACTGGAGTTTCTGGATTCTAGGGGTCACAACCATTTCACATGGGACCCACTCCAAGAAACTAAGAGAAACTTGTACTTATCATTTAGACATTACCAAGGCCAAAATAAATAAATAAATATAAATAAATCCTTTCAGGACCAGCTGCCTCTTAGTGAAGGCTCAGCGTAAAGCCAGCGGTCTCTGTTCTGGGTGTCCCCTGAGAACACTGACATGGTGTGACCTACTGACGCTGGAGAATGATCGACGGCTTGCTTCTCCATCTATGCTGAGATAAACCTACCAGAGGGCCCACTGGAGGCAGGAAACTTTCCCATTGTTGATCACCCTGTCTCTCAGTAAAAGAGGACATCCTCCAAGTTCATCTTTACTTTAGACCACAGTTCAGGACTCCAAAATCATTGGATGCTTCGAGAACAAAATCTCTCATACTTTTAGGGAGAAACAACCACACAAGTTGTTGATCTGTTCCGTAACATATCTTGCCGATGTGTTCTGCAGAACAAGGTAATTCAGGAAAGATTAGGAGGCTGGAATCACCATGGATAAGTACACCATACCTAGACACTTGACATCTGAGTTTTCGATCTCAAGCGCCAGCACTCAGTACAGGCGAGTGAGGGTTTTCCCCAGGCAGCCCAAACCCTTGGCACACAGCTTTCTGTGATGGTCACTGACGATTCCATCTTGTGACTGCTACTTTAAATTCTAACCCAGCAACAGGCAAGTCTTCAGTTCCAAAGGTTATGCCAGGTTGTATCCAAAGAAAGCGGGCAAGCTGCGGCAGTGGGTTCCATCACGATGTTCGGATATCACACCTGAGCATGACCTTTTCAGGCTCTGTGTTCATGAGGACATCCTGGCAGAAATCAGGCTTCATTCAAACAAAGATGTATTCTGGAGTTCAACTAATAAATTAAACTGAGTTTACAGCCCTGCGGGTAAGCATCACAGATACGTCTGATAAACATGAAGGAACACGACGCCAGTTTAGAAAGGTGAATCACCTTAATAGGTTCCCCACAACTACAGCTCACCACACCGAAGAGCCAACTTGCCATTTCTGTGAGAAAATCCACCACATTGTTTAATTACAAGATCAGTTCATTATTCGTTTATTCCAATGTGTATTTCTTGAGCACTGGGCATTGAGGATTCAGTGGTGAATAAAAGAAATATGGTCCCAGCCCTTATGGAACATATACATTAATTCAAAAAACAATCGTTCAATAAACACACTGTTATAAATTGTGATGAAGGCTAGGAAGGAAAGAACTGTCCCTTAGGAAGAAGAGAGGACATGTGATCTAGTTTAAGGGGTCAGGAAAGGCCCTGTGTGGAAGGGACATTTAGCCGAGACATGCGATGGTGTGTGTAGAAGTGAAGAAGAGGACAAAAGGGTGGCGAATGGCACGAGGAGAGGGGCAGAGGTGGAAGTTCTTGGCACGATCTGGGAACAGAAAGACGGCCACGTAGCTAGAGCATGCCAAGCAAGAACGGGCAGGACGAGAGATGAGAACGAAAGGGAGACGCGAGTCAAGGCTGGTGGGGCCTTCTAGGACTAAAGAGTCCTGAACTTAAACCTAAATACAACGGGAGCTGGCTAAGAATTTTGTGCAAAAAAGCGACACTACCCAAGGCGAGATCAGAGCAGGCTCATACCAGTCAAGGGCTACCGCAGTAGGCCCGACATGGGCGGACAGCGCTCAGAGGCAGGCACCGGATATGGAATTACAAGGCCAGTTTAAAACGTACTTTAGAGTTGAACCAACAGAACTTGGGGCGATAAATATGAGAGTTTAAGATTATTAGATATGAGAAGTAAAAGATTATTTCCAACTTTCCAGCATCTGCAGCTAGGCTGACAGAGGAGACATCATTCCTGGCAGGAAGGACTAGAGAAGGAGGTAAAAATCAAGAATGCTGTCTCAGAGGTGGGCCTGTGTGAGAGGCCACCTGTGACCCCCACCTGTGATAAAGTTGGGAACAGCTCCACACGAAGCAGCTCAAAAAGAGAGATCTGCACTGTGGCTTTAAATATAACTTCTGTGTTTTGACCTTTCATATTAATTCTTTTAAGCCCACGCTGCAGAGAAGAGATTCAAACCAAAGTCTGTTCAACTACTAAGTGTGTGAAGCTCTTCTACCGCCACGTGCTCAAATAAGAACTAATGCGCCATCACTGTCACTGCTGCGGAAGAAAACTTCGCTGAGGAAGTAACTTGGGGCGTGAAGGATGTTCAGATGACTTGAAGAGAGATAAGGAAGTTAAAGCGCATTCCAGGCAAAGGCCAGCATGCATGCAAAGGCCCAGGGCTGTGAAAGGGCCTGACGTGTGGCTACCAACAGTAAGGACGCAGGCATGGGTGGGAGGGCCTGGGAGCGGAGGGGAACAAGGCTGGCAGAGAGGTGGATGCGTCCTGCGGCAGACTGCAGTTACCCCCCAATTATTCTCTCCTCTCCTAGTGACAAGGACTCCAATACTTAGCTGGGTATGCTAGTTTAAAAATTACATTCCTCAGCCTTCTTGCGACTAAGCATGGCCTATATGTCTAAGTTTTAGCCAATAACATTCAGGTTAAAGTGTCATGACTTCTAGGAAGTGTCCTCAAAGGAGAAAAGACAGACCTTTCCTCTTCCTTCCTTCTTGCTGGCTAGAATGCGGATGTGATACAGCTGGACCTCAGGTACTCGTCTTGGTCCTGAGGTCACAGGACAAGGGTGCTTTCTACTGAGCAAAGCAGCACAACAGAATAAGCTGAAGACTGGGACTGTCCTACAGGCCCTGGCCTGCCTGCCTCTAGTCTCTTTTTATGAGATAGAAATAAAATCCTTTCTTGTTTAAGCCACGGATGTTTTAGGATTTAACGCCATTCTCAGCAGAACAAACTTTCTAACGTACGAGTCCAGATGATGAAACTGACAAGCTTGGACACTATCCTATAAGACAGGAGTCCCCAACCCCTGGGCCATGGATGGGTGCCGGTCCGGTCTGTAGCTTGTTAGGAACCGGGACACACAGGAGGTGAGCAGTGGGCGGGTGAGTGAAGCTTCTGTATTTGCAGCCGCTTCCCAGCACCAGCATCACCACCTCAGCTCCTCCCTGGATCATCAGGCATTTGATTCTCATAGGAGAATTCACAGGTCCCTGGTGCCAAAAAGGCTGGGGACCACTGCTACACAACATTGCAAAGACAAGGGACGCATACATTTTAAGAATATGAATTTGGCAGCATTCTGAAGTGCAGAGGCAAAAGTAGCAGAGATCTTAGAAAGCCAGAGTTGCAGTCTAGGTGAGACGATCAGAATCTGAATGAAGATAGTGGCAGTGACAGTGAGGAGAGAGGTTTGAGAGACTTCTAAGAAGGATGCTGCTCAGTGTGTCTCCATCACTGTGAATGACTTCGTATATGAAAAACGGGCTTAAATTAAAAGAGCTTTTGCTTGAATATCAAGAGCAATAAAATTCCATGAGAAAATTGCTAGAATAGGGTAGAGTTGCTGGCAGCCCTCAACAGGGCAAAGGTTATATACATCCTCACGGCCTTTGACTCTATCATATTGAAAGCATTCTGCGGCCCATTCTAGCTCAAGAAATTCTAGAAACCAGTGACTAGCAAGATTCTTCATCTAAAAGAGAGAATTTTCTAAAAACCTGATACACTACTAACATAAGCAACTACTCAGTATATTCCTCCAGACATACTCTAGGAAGAAAAGTCCAGTGAAATCCTCATCTTTTTCTACAGATTATCTGAAGCTCCTATTTTAAACATTTAAAAAATAAAATGTCATGGTTTGCTGAGGTTGGCATTGTCACATACATCAAGTGCAAACCCAACACCTTATTTTGATAAGAAAAATGATTCTGATTTGGCTTTCTCATATATAAACAACAGACTGACAAGTGTGATGATTCTTAATGCTTTATAAACACATCAAAAGGTTTTCAGATAATGACTGTGATGCTAAGCGGGGGCAATATTAAGAAAACAAGCAAGGAATTGGCAAAAAAAAGTTTCAATTCTATCCAATTAAAAAAGTGACAAACTGACACATTTAAGCTTTTTCCAACATCTCTAAAGGGCCACAGAAATTTATAAAAATGCAAAAACTGCACTTTTTTTTGTTAATAAAACTATTTCCCTTCAGATCTCTTAAAATCAATCAACCAGGAAAGCTAATTTTATGAGCCCCTCA